AGTTAAAAGATAACTACTGTGAGATATGTGTAATACTGCATGATAATTTGAGAAAATTTAAGCATTTCTGTTGTGATAATAATAAATTTTTGTTCATTTTTCATCGGACTTGTGCATTCATTTCATAACGAACCCATACGCACGCAACAATATGAATACTTGTTGGTTATTTGGTAGCTGCTTATATCTTTCTGAAAATACCCCTTATGATTCTGATTCTTATAAATGTTTAGCAGCTGTAGAAACTATTCCAGATTCTCTTATAAAATATGATATGTTTATTTATTTTTCTTTTCTTTTCTTGTTAAATTTTTGGTGGGGCTAAGGGAGGGTAAAATGGGGTGGAAATGGCTTCTTTTTTTTATTGAAATATTAACTTTGATCCCAAGACATGCAAACAATAGAATGCATGTTCGGATCAGCAAAACTCAGAAATAAGTAGCAATGTGATACAATCTACAATCAATTGCCTTCTTATTAATTAAACTTCATGCAGAGATAGCTGCAGAGAATATTAATGTGTTTAGTGCCATACTGAAGGTGAATGCTAAAAAATATCTGCCAGAAAAATATATACAGGAAGAATCTGAACAATTGGGAGAACTTTAGGGGTTGATAGAAGACAGCTATACAAGCAATATTCGTCATAGAATGTATGGTTGGAGCACAAACGGAGAGCCACTAGGTGGCATTGTAAATAAATGGTGCAAAAAGGGTCAGTCCTCGCACCCAATGACATTTTCTATTATGGATTGCTGATTATACGAACCACGAAATTATCAGGGTCATGGATTGGTACAGTTGGTCTCATAGCTTGACCACCAAGATCACTGGATCTCTCATGTTTGGACTTTTTCCTGTGAGGCCATATGAAAAACCTAATCTATGAATGCCCCATTGAAACCAATATGGATCCAATTGCCAGGATCGTCATTGTTGCCAGTGATATTCAAGAAATGCCTGGTGTCATTCGCAAATGTGTGTCAATCCCTATTCCGCAGGTGTGAAGCCTGCATTACAGCTGGCAGAAGGTCTTTTGAGCAATTTCTATGAGCATGTTCCGCTAATAAAATGTTACGTCATCTCATTCTTGTATTAATTCTTCAAATGTGACAGTAAAGAACTACTCTTTAACTTCTTACTGCTTCCATTCTGACCATACATTCTATGATGAATATTGCTCGTATAGCTGCCTTATATTATGCCCTAAAGTTCTGCCCACTTTTCAGATTCCCCCTGTATAAAGCAAAGCAGATTTATTTATCAAAAAGTACAAACAGACTGTTTGCAGTGCATTGATGGATACCAGATAATCAGCAATACCAAAAACATGCATATAAATATTCTGTGCCCTATTTCCCTCTATGTCTGTGATTGTAGTTAAAAATTCTTCAAATGGAAATCTAGTTGAGCCTATTGCATCTTTTAAATAGTGTTTAAAAAGATTTCATCACAGATTATCAGAGTTCAGCAGAATTTAGAGAGAATAAACTTCCAACTAATTTCTTCTCAGTTTAGGTAATTAGATAAGCTTTCATGTTATACATCCAATTACAATTTTCTTAGATAAATTCCTTCCTTCTATTGGTCAAAATTCTTTCCTGATGCAATGAAACGTTTGAGAACCTATATGTAAATACTGCTTATGAAGGAATTCCATAATGATTTTAAGAAGTTTGTGCAGAGAAGGCAAAAGTTTTGGATGTTTTTTTATTTTTATCAAGGTCTGAATTTTGTAAACATCCACTTGCACAGAGAATCTCATTCTCATTTAAAAACAAATTTAGAATGCTTAATTTACAATGCTTATTCTTATCAATATTTTTTTTCAAACAAGGAATATCTTCACAAAATTCCTTTGTGTGTGCGAGAGGGAGAGTGTGTGTGTAACCAATACATCTGCAGCATGGTTCAGTTCTTCGACATCTAACTTAACCTTTTTGGACTCCCAGCGATATATCTCATTACAGAAAAACCAGAAAACAAAGCTAATTTTACAATGTTTAGTGAAATTATTACTTAAGTTAAAAAATCGCCAATTAAGTTTGAATCAATTAGTAAAACTGGTAAGCTGTAAGGTTTTAATTCCTTTTCAAAGTTCACATCCAAACGTTTGCACTAGAAGGTCAGAAGTCAACTAAGCAAGGCCTCTTCACCATAAGGAATTGTTCAATAAGTCTATAAGTGAGGTACCTCTGGAAATGATGTCAGCAGGATTGTCTGTTGTTGGAATATACCTTTAAACAAAGTTTGGACATGAAAAATTTATCAGTTTAATCTGGTTAGTCATAAAAGTTTTTAATTTCCCAGTAGGTGTCTTGACCCACACTCCAGTAATCATTAAATCACTCCACACATAAATGTGGCTGAATAGCAGTTGTAAAACTGGAACCACCTTTGCCAAATGCAGCTTAAAAGCAAAGCGGCAGAAAGTTCCATAGCTCCTGCATCTAAAAGGATTTCTTAAATTTAATGTGCAAGTTCCTTTGTAGCATTCTAGTCGCTAAAAATAGAGCACATGATGTTCTGTTAGTTATTATTTTCAGTCTATATGTTGCCACAGGAGTAATTAGACTCCAATACCATAATATCCTTTGTAATTCTCTATTAGCTTCATTTATTAGTACTTGATGACACATTTTTTTTTTATTTTTTTTTATTGTCTGCATTTAAGGCGTATCTATGAGGATGAAATCTTGCTGCAATGGAAAATAGCTCTTTTTGTACAGTTTCTCCATTTAGGAATACAGAATCGAGGGAAACCCCATTACTTTATTTCCAAGATGCATCAAAAATGGCATGCAACGGAGTTGATCTTATTTTCGGGAAGAAAAATCACATGGTAAGGAATACAATATTTTATATTGGTACACTCATTCATCCACAAATGCCTTATACAGTGTTGTCATGGTATTGTTTTCATCTAATTTCTTCTAAAGTTTACACTCCAAAGTTTGAACTCTTTCCACTATTTTCTTTGACACCCCTAATACTGATGGTTTATCTTTAATTATTGGCAAACTTACAATATATCTCCCATTTTCATTTCTCTAGTGTGTAGAAACGAAATGTTCCTCATAGTATAAATTTTCAAATGTTTCAGTTTGACTTGAATTTTCAGTAAGATTACCAGAAAAGGATTCTAACTCAGTATTATATTGAAATAAACATCTTAAGTATCTCCTGAAATTAACCCAGGAAAATAATGTGAATCTGAATTTTTGATCGAATTTGTTACTAAATAACCAAAAACACTATTTTGCAATAACAGTGAACTATCAAAGGGCCTGCATCTTTCTGCTTTTAATTACTCAAAAAATAATTCACTCCCCAATAACATACATGAACTTCGTAAGATATGTGAAAAGTAGGATTTATTTAATTTCCTTTGGGAAATCTGTTTTAAAAGTATCAGTTTTATTTGCAGGCATGAGACCAGTAATGTGAGGCAAAATAAAACAATCCTCATCATCACCATTTCAGATTTTTGTAGTTGTTTTGTCAAAACATTCTCCTCCACTTATTCCGGTTGTGGTCGGTTTATTTCCTGCCTATTTAATCCCAATGCATCAGCAGCTTCAGAACTTAATATATTATAGCTGTTTCTTAAATCCAAGATTCCTTTTACTTTCTTATCAAATGCATTTTTAATGAATAATGATATTATATACAGCCACCTGGGTTGTCTACCTTTGAAAGTTAATGTGGCTCCTAACACTTCTGCAGAATGTTGCACAAATAAGGTAGATGAGAAATTTATTTATTCTCAGACCTAGTCATGGATCACTTATTTGAAGCATTCGGTTTTGCCGCAATATTAATTAAACTGTCATGATCAAAATTTTCATAGATTCATTTGCAAGGTTCATTATACATTTTAAAACACATCTTGTACAATTTCGATTCTTGAATTATCTGATTATGTGTTGGCACACATACTCATATTAAGGAATTTAGAACATCTGTGTAAAGCATGTTCTGCAGTATATAGAGTACAGGGTTTAATATTTTTTCTTGATGCTTTTAAAATTAAACTCTCAGATTTTATGTTCCCTTGACATGAAGTAGTATCTTTATACAAAGTTTCTAAGGTTAAAGTTCCATTTTCCAGAAACTTAAGAATTCATGTAAAGAGAGAAGATTCATGTAAAGAGAGACTTTTTGGTTTTTAACATTAACTCGATTTTTTACACGTTTAATTATCAATTTCTTGAAAAACAATTTTCATTAATATGACATCAGATAGTTATTGCATTCAAATTCCAATACTTTTAATGCACAAAATTTATGTTTCATTTTATTCAATAAATGGCATAATTTCCTGGGCGATTCTTATTAACATTTTTCATGATTTCATATATTTTGCATGTGAGAATCCATAATCATCAGCTTATTTTCAAAACGTTTAAGAAGTGAATCATAGTTGTTTTAATCTGTTTTTTTTTTTTACTTCTTTTTTTATTTCTTTGACTTCTCCTTTTAGAGCAGCCTTTAAACAAAGAAACTTTTGTAAGTTGCCAAGTTTATTATTATTCTAAAAAAGTTCATTATTTAAGTTTATTATTCTAGAAAATGCTGGCGTCTTTTGGCTGTAGAAGATGATGGCAGAGAAAAGTTTCACAGGATTTATATTGTGAGAAAAATGTAAATTAAAATTCTTAAATAATAAGAAAATAAAATGGAAAATGTTTCATCACAATTTTCTGCTTTTATTATTTCCATACAGTGTTATTAAGAATGAAGCTTACTGATAACATTATAATAAATAAGATACAACTAGTTGGAATACATAAAGAAATTAATTAATTATTTTCACATGAATTATTTAAAATTCGCACAGATTCAGCTGGGAATAATATAAAATAATGTTAAAAATAAATTATTTAAAAATATTACTGTTGAAAATTTAAACTATACATTGCATGCATCAAATAAGTGAAATGATAATGATATATACTTGTTAAATTAAATAAATAAAGCAATGTGAAAATAAAACTTACTGTGGATCATCTTTCACAACACAGTGTTTTACAAAATCCAGAAATTGAGAACAAAAGTTCAAACAAGCAGCTGGGGACCACAGATTCTAAAAATGGAAATGCATTTACTGTATTATTAAACAAAATACAAAATAAAGTCATAAACAGTTTCAGCAATAAAACATATGAAGAGTAATTTAAAGAAGAAAATAAAGAAGCTGGCAATCTATTGATGCAAAGGATATATAATTATAAGGCACACCAGTTCAACACAGTTTAACAAGAAATGAAATGGATGTAATGATGTACAGTTGAGTTGTTTAGAAACACCTTATAAAACATATTATTTATTGAGTTCATTTGATATAAAATTATGGTTTCTGTAGTAATTTGATAACAAAATGTATGAAAGATGGAGTCAAAGGGCACATGAAGTAGCTAAAATGCTCACATATTGCATAAAACTTTCTATCAAGTTCAGGCATAGGTGCATTTAGGAAAAACTCTTAACAATTAAAAATATTTATTTAAAAACATACAAACATTACATATGCTAAAATTTTACATACAACCTTCTATAATTAAAGCATTCAATCTGATGCAATTAAGAGAAAATTCAAGAAGTGAGAAATATCATAAACTTTGCTAGTTTAATGAGTTAATTGCATAAGCTGCAAATTGAGAGATCAGGGTAAAAAATTGAATGTCGCAAAGTGAAAGATAAAGAATTATATAGCAGAAATTTCAATTGAATATGATGCTATACTATTTCTTTAAGAAATGGCAATTTAATTAACATCCTAATCTGCTTTAACCCTGTAGTCTGTTCAATCCTGATACATGCTGACTTCATAGTTTTCATAGTTTTCATATTTTTCTCTATTTATGATGTAAATGAAGTCAGTTTTCCTTAAAAAAAGTAAAGCACATGAATACATTCCTCTAAATATTTTGTCATAAAAAAAACCTACATAAACAGATACTGGTTTACATACTTAAAGTCAATGATGTTTTTATTATCTTAATTCCGTTTTCTTTTGGTAATGCTTGAAGGGATAAATTTTATATTTTTGCCTCTGCACTTTCTAAGATTAAATCTTTTAGACTGTGAGAGTATTTTAATTCTGACTGATAAAATTATAAAATTAATTAATTAAAAAAGCAAAATTTTATGTATTTTATAATACATATACCAAAATTTTATGTACATACATAAATGTATTTTTTTTTCACAACATTTATTTAAATCTGATTTCTAGTCTCGATAAGAGATATAACATCTGTAAAATTTTGTATCTTTCAAGAGAATAATGAATACTGATAAATGAATGATTTATCTTGCAAACAGATGACTTGCACTTTTTATACTGATGAATACAGTACAGTATAACAGATACATTTTCTCTTTCATTAAACCATTTAATAATTAAAAAATATTTCCACTGACATATTTGATAAGTGAATGACAAACAAAAACTAAATTAAAAATTTATACATTACTTCATGATAACTGGTAAAGAAAATGATTTTCATGTAGCATACAGTAATATGAATATCCTTATATAAGGTCATCAAATGTATTTTGATAAATTCACAGCATACAATGAATGTACAACCCTATATATTTCACATATTATCTCATATTATCCTTATATAAAGTCATCAAATATCCTTATATAAGATCCTTAGGTAAAGTTATCCTTATATAAGGTCATATCATTAGATAAGGTCATCAAATGTATTTTGATTAATTCACAGCATACAATGAATGTATAATCCTAATTATTTCACATATTATCTCATATTTACTATTGTATAGTTAGTTGTATATTCATATGATATTTTCACAACAAAATATTTAAGCAAAATAGCAAGATGCAAGAAAAGACTACATGATGAAAATTAGAATCTATTCTCAAATAATCAGAAATAGGCATTAAATTTTAATGTACTTGCTAAATGTTGGGAATGAAGATACCAGTCAAGACAAGAAATATAAAAACCCTCAATTCATCATAAACCTGAAAAATCATACTTAACATTTCTGTTTTAAATACAATGTACCGATACTTGAGCTGGAAACTTTTAAATAGCAACATAGCTTATTATAGATAAAACTGGAATAATCTATAATGCATAAAATATAAATACAGTAAAACTTCTCACTGCAACCACCTCTAAAAATAACTAAAATTCCGAGAACTTAAAAAAAAAAAAACATTGGAATTGAACATTACAGACTATCTTGTTCTTTAGAACAGCCAGTTACACAGGTCAACAAAATCATCTCAAGTCCTGGCTGATTGTCTTAATGTTCTCTGCACAATATGGCGAAACTTAATAGTGCAACAACTGGAGACATAGAATATGGTTTCACAAGATGTTCAGATCACATACATGCATGCTTGATATATATGTCACATGAATTACAAAACATTTTTAGAATTACTTGGTGGTCTCATGGATATTACCAGCAGCGACTGCAATTCTTGCCATAAGGTTTACATCAAAATCAACTGGCATTTCATGTACAGTGGCTATGGAAGTCCCCCACAAAAACAGACTGATGCTAGATAAATCAGGTGAACACAAAAGAAATGCGATAATCCACTAAGCCCAATCCATAAATTTCCTGATGTCCCATATAATATTCACACATATAAATGGCATAATACACTACAGCCTTCTTGTGTAGGAAGCACAATTGGTGTAACACAATCATGAAAACTCCGTTCAGTAAATCAGACAAAAAAGATTTCTTCGTAAAAGATATTTTCAAGCATCCATTCAGTAATATATAGAACAGCAGTCACCTATAATATTCACCCCAATATTTATGGCAAAGTGGGACTGTGCAACATGTGATCAATAGCATGTGAGCCATATTGGAATAACATGTGTGAACTGTGGGAATTAGACTCCTTCACAGGAAACAATATGCTTCATCTGTAAATTGAACATAACTTTAGATTACCAGGTGACTTGAACTTTGCTATAGAAACCACAGCACAAATACCATATGCTGAGAATAATCTTCCATCTGCAGCAACTGAATACATTGCAAATGGATGTAAGGATGAAGTGTGCACAGTGCAACTTACATTGATTTGGGATGCTCCTGTTGTAGTGGTAATTCCATATATACTTGCATCTTAAATACTGTCCACAGCATTGTCACACATCCTGTCCTATGACAGGAGTTCAAATCAGTTGTGGCCATCTGATATCCTGCATCTGCACCTAAGCTTTGAAGGATTCATACTCACACAAGTTATAATTCTAATGTGCAAACATTGGTACTTCCGAACATGTCTGGTTCTGTACCTTTCCCAACACAATCTTACAACAGCTTACCCATTATCAACAATTAATCCACACACAATGTGCATGTATCTAACAACTCAGTATTTTTATAAAATGATGAGTGGTTTCTATATTAGTGGTCTCAAACAGGCAGCCCGCTGGCCAGACATGGCCCATAAAGACATTTCAATAATGTACTTGTTGCAAGTATGGCATTTTAAAGATTTCAAGATTTTAGTTATTTGAAGTCTGAGTTTATATTAGTTTCACTTCCATTAAAAAAGAACATGAATAATGCACCATAAAATCTATAAATGGAGCCAATTAATTTATAATGTAATATGAATCTCATTCAAAGATTTGAAGATACAGAATTTAACTTTTATTCATACCTGTCATAAGCTCAGTTATTAAGCTTGCACTAAGAATAACTGCTTTCTTTGAGAACACATTTATAAGTGAACAACATTTTTTTTTCAGATGCCAATTAATAACAAAATATATTCATTGATCGACAAGCATCTACAAACAGTGATGAAGATAATTTTTAGCAATTCTTCTCCAAGGCTACGAACTTTATTAGAACCAAAAGATCATTAAGAATGAAGCTAGCATAAGAAATAAAGAAGTTATTAATTATTTTCACAAAACGATATTAATTTTTTTCTATGTATTGAAGAAAAATATAATAAATAAGAAAAATAGAATAAAATTTTATTATTTATTCTTCAAGTTTTGTCCCATTTGGTATATTTTCTCTAAAAATTTAGAAATTTTTTTTATTTGTTTATTTTAAGTTTAAAATAAAGTTATACAATGATTAAATAAACATGTTAGAATTACTTGAAAGAACATTAGTCAGGGTGAAAGACCCTTGAATATATTCTATCTTAATTCAATTTTAAATATATATATATATCATGCTGCTATCAGCATGCAATTGGATTAGTTTTTTTTTTTTTTTTTTTATTAATTTATAATTATATATATATATATATATATAATAATTTATTTCCTAAACAGTATTGATTAATTGATTATATTATCTCCTAAGTTTAATTAAAGTAGAATTATTTTAAAAGTGTGCATCCATACTGGTAAGTTATATTTTGAAAGATGTTTTGAAGTAATTTGAAAGCAAAATGTTAATAATGTTTTAACGGGGACTGGAGTTAAATCATCACGAAGAATAATATTTCAATTGTAAAAGGAAAAATTAAAACATGTAATCATTGTCATTGATCGGAAATTAGTTGACTTTTCAAGGGGAACAAACCAACTCCCGTTCAATGAACAATAATTGATAAAAATACGTAAATACGAAAGTGTTTCGTCTTTACTCGAGTTTATAAGTTAAAGCCAAACCGGCAATTCTAGTCAGGCCAAATATTTCCGCGAATAGAAGGAATTATGAACCAATGCTGATACTCAAAGAACTTATTCTTATGAAGCAATTTTAGTCAATTCAATTTGGAGTAAAAATCAATTACTGTAGAGAAATCCTGTAAAACTCGAGTAACCGTCCCCGACACTTTCATCTTTATGCATTTGAGTACTATATTATTTGTAGAAATTAAACATTGGAAATTGTCATTATGAAATCGAATTCAAAGTAAAGTTGAAATAAACATAGAAGATTATAAAAAAGATAAATAATGCAAACTTTGTAAAAACAAATCAAAGACAATATAAAAATAATATAAAAAACAATATAGAAAATAATATAAATAAGATCAGTGAATGTACATGAAGATATAAAGGCCAGAAAAGGTATTAAGTAACTTACATTCTTTCTAGTGGGGGA